GGATTAAGAGTACACTTATCATGATAAACACTGAGTAATGTACAGAATTGTTGAATTACTATATTGTACACCTGAAACAAATATAACACTGTATGTAACTATCTTGGAATTAAAATTAAAAATTAATACAAAATAAATGTATACCTTAAGGAACTAGAAAAGGAAGAGTGAACTAAATTTTTTTAAAGCAGAAGAAAATAATGAATATTAAAATGGAGATTAATGAGATAGAGAATAAAAAAACAAAAGAGAAAATCAACAAAGGCAAAAGTTGGCTCTTTGAAAAGATTACAAAAATTACAAACCCTTAGCTAGACTGACTAAAGAGAGAAAACTCAAACTGCTAAAATCAGGAATGAAAAAGGAGACATTACTACTGACCTTACAGAAATAAAAGGATTATAAGAGAACACTAGGAACAACTGTATGCCAACAAATTAGAAAATCTAGATAAAATGGGCAGATTCCTAGAAAGACACAAACTACCAAAACTGACTCAAGATGACACAGAAAATATGAATAGATCTGTAATAAATAAACTTCCCACAATAAAAGCCCAGGTTCAAGTAGCTTCACTGAATTCCACCAAACATTTCTAGAAGATTAATACCAATCTTTCACTAACTCTTCCAAAAAATTGAAGAAAACAATTCTCAACTCATTCTATGAGGCCAGTATTACTAAAACAAGACAGATGTAAAATTTAAGGTAGAGCCAGATAGAATTAATTGAGTCTGATTCAGTTTGAATCCCACAACAAAGAAAACATAATATAGGCACAGTCAAAAGGAATTTATCCCAGGAATACAAAGTTCCTTTACTATCTTAAAATCAACCAAAGTAACACACCATATTAACAGAATAAAGAACAAAACCCACACAATTATCTTACAGACTCAAAAAATTATGTGACAAAACCCAACAAGCCAGAAATAGAAGCAAACTTCATCAACATGATAAAGACCATCTTACGAAAACACAAATCTAACATCATATGTAATGGTGAATGGCCATATGCATTCTCCCTGTGATCACAAATCTCACAAAGATGTCCTCTCTCCTTACTTCTATTCAACACTGTACTTTAAGTTTTAGCAAGAAAACCTAGAGAAGAAAAAGAAATAGAAAGTATCGAGACTCGAAAGGAAAAAGTAAATTTCTATTTGGAAATGACATAATCTCTACTTACAGATGATATTATCTTGCATATAGAAAACCCTAAAGAATCCACACACATGCACATGCACATGCAAACAAATAAACAAAAAAACCCTTCTACAAATAAACTAGATCAGCAAGGTTCAGGACACAAGATCAATATACATAAGTCAACTATGTTTATACATTACCAACGAACATTCCAAAAAAGAAATTAAGAAAAAAAATCCACTTAAAATAGCAAAAAGAATAAAACACTTAGGAACGAATTTAACGAAAGATGTGCAAGACACATACACTACAAATGACAAAACATCACTGAAAGAAACTGAAGAACACCTAAATAAATAAGAAGACATTCCATATTTTTCCTACTAGAAAACTTAATATTAACACAGCAATACTTCCCAAATTGATCAACAGTTTCAACACAAGCCCTAAGAAAAGTATATATCTGCCTTTTTTGTAGATAGAAATGTTAAAAATTATCATTAAAACATTGGTTCTACTCAAATTAAGATTATTATTTATTTTATTTTATTTTATTTTTTTTCAAATTAAGATTAAACAAAACTAGGGGCACAGTTAAGTGTCTGACTCTTGATCTCAGCTCAGGTCTTGATCTCAGGGTCGTGAGTTTAAGCCCTGCATTGGGCTCCTAGGCATGGAGCTTACTTAAAAAAAAAAAAAAAATTAAAACTAAGCTCAGTACTTATAAACAGGATGCAGACTTTAAGGAAGAGCCAGACAGAATCTTCTGCCAAGGACTCCCTGTCAGAACAAAAATAAACCACATGAATTATTCACCATGTCAAAAATAATGGTATTTTCCTACAGTTCATGATTCAAAGTCTGAAACTATTAATATTTTCACCTTAAAATTTTTAAGTCTGAACTGTTATATCTTAAAGGGCAATTTTAAGAATGATTGGCCCAGTATTAAATTTCAAAAAGGCTATATAAAAATTATGTGTAAGAGTCTCAGAATGTATTTTCTCATAGAAGCAAAAAGAAAAGCCCCCTTTCACATAAAATATTCTTGGAATAAAACAACTTCCAAAGTGTAATTTTAAAAAACTTAAAAACATGATTCTAAAAGAAAAGGAGCTGAACTTCAACATAATCTTTCTTTATTTTTTATTTTTAAGGATTTTATTTATTCATTTGAGACAGAGATACAGAGCGAGAGAGCGTGAGCAGGGGGAGAGGCAGAGGCAGAGGGAGAAGCAGGCTCCCCACTGAGCCAGAAGCCTGATGTGGGGCTCGATCCCAGGACCCTGGGATCATGACTTGAGCCGAAGGCAGACGCTTAACCATCTGAGCCACGCAGGGGCCCCAACATAATCTTTTTTTAACCATAATTATCTATAAGAGAGGAGGCAAGAATATAAATGGGGAAAAGACAGTCTCTTCAACAAATGGTGTTGGAAAAGCTTGGCAGCTACATGCAAAAGAATGAAACTGGACCACTTTCTTATACCCCACACAAAAATAAAGTAACAATGAATTAAAGACCCAAATGTGAGACCTAAAACCATAAAACAACTAAAAGAAAACAAAGGCAGTAAACTCTTAGACACTGGCCTTAGCAACAGTTTTCTGGATCTGTCTCCTCAGGCAAGGGAAACAAAAGCAAAAGTAAATAATTGGGACTATATCAAACTTAGAAGCTTTTGCATAGCAAAAGAAACCACCAACACAAAAATGGGAGAAGGTGTTTGCAAACGATATATCTGATAGGGGGTTAATATCCAAAATATAAAAAGAATGCATACAACTCAACAAAACCCCCAAATAATTCAATTAAAAATGGGCAGGGGACCTGAACAGATATTTTCCCAAAAAGGACATGTATTTTCAGATACATGAAAGGATGCTTAACATCACTGATTATCAAAGAAATGCAAATCAAAATCACAATGAGAAAATACAGCCATCAGAATGGCTAAAATAAAAAGACAAGAAATAACAAGAATTGGCAAGAGTGTGGAGAAAAGGGGACACTTGGGCACTGTTGGTGGGAAAGCAAGCAGGTGCAGCCACTATGGAAAACAGTATGGAGGTTCCTCAAAAAATTAAAAATAGAATTACCATATGATCCAGTAATTCCACTGCTGGCTATTTACCCAAAGAAAGTAAAAACACTAATTCAAAAAGATATGCACCTCTATGATTATTGCAGCATTATTTACAACAGCTAAGATCTAGAAGCGATCTAAGTGTCTACCAATAGATGAATGGATAAAGAAGATGTTATATATAACACACATATACATAAATTAAATACGACTCAGCCATAAAAAAGAAAAAAGTCTTGTCATTTGTCGTAACATTGGTGGACCTAGAGGGTATTATGCTAAGTGAAATAAATCAAAGACAAATACCATATGATTTCACTTACACAAATAAAAAAATGAACAAACAAAAAACAGAAACAAACTCCTAAATACAGAGAACAAAGTGGTGGTTGCTAGGAGGGGAGAAGGATGAGTGAAACAGGTGAAGGGGATTAGGAGGTACAAACTTCCAGTTATAAATAAGTCACGGGGCGCCTGGGTGGCTCAGTCATTAAGCGTCTGCGTTCGGCTCAGGTCATGATCCCAGGGTCCTGGGATCGAGTCCCGCATCGGGCTCCCTGCTCTGCGGGAAGCCTGCTTCTCCCTCTCCCACTCCCCCTGCTTGTGTTCCCTCTCTCGCTGTGTCTCTCTGTCAAATAAATAAATAAAATCTTTTAAAAAAGTAAAATAAAATAAATAAGTCACAAAGAAGAAAAGTACAGCAGAGGGAGTATAGTCACTAATATTGTAATAACTTTGTACGGTAACAGATGGTAACTACACTTACCGTGGTGAGCACTGTCTAATGTATAGAGTTGTCTAATCACTATGCTATACACCTGAAACTAACATAACATAGTACATCAACTATACTTCAACAAAAAATTTAAAAAAAAAAGTAAACCCCATAATTCTAAAAGTATCGTCAACACATGCCAAAGATTGACTTAAGTCATTAATGAGAGATCAGCTGCTTGACGAAGCTGGTTCAAAGAAGACACAGAAACCATTGTCTATTGATAGCAGAAAAAAGAATACCAGGATAGACATGTCTAATATGACACTGAAAGGGTATACATTTATCTTTTACCTTATTTCTTATTTCTAAGTTTTAGATAATTTTTCTTAACGTAATTCATAAATTTCTGACTTTGATATTTTTTGGAAAAATCAGGTGGATTCTGTACTCACGAATAAGAAAGTAAGCTTAACAAATAATAGTGAAATAAAAAAATCTAAACTAATTTAAACATATCTTAAGAATGTTTCCACTCAAGTTGATGTGTTCTTGGTATTTTTTTTTTTTTAAAGATTTTATTTATTTATTGAGAGAGGGCGCGCGAGAGAGCATGAGCAGGGGAAAGGGGCAGAGGGAGAGGGAGAAACAGACTCCCGGCTGAGCAGGGAGCCAGATTCGAGGCTTGATCCCAGGACCCTGGAATCACGACCTGAGCCAAAGGCAGACGCTTAATCAACTGAGTCACCCAGGCTCCCCATTCTTGGTACTTTTAATGGTATTGAGTCTGACAATGCAAAGCAAGAATCAGAGGATGTGATACGGGATACTTTATCAATTAGCAATGACGATGTGACCATCTGCCACGTTAGGGCTGTCACCGCTGAGAGAAATGAAATCTGCCAAATTGATGATACCAGTCCTGGGGTTACTACATCTATCAAGCAAGTCGGTGTTCACTGTCAACCTGCCATGAACTAGGAACATTAAGAACCAGGGGGCGGTAAAAGAGGCCCTTCTCTTTCCCCTTACATACATGTAAGTATTACCTTTACCAGTTCCGGCTCTTCTGCCTGAAGGTGAAGTTCTTCATCGGGCTGGGAATCTTCTGGATTCTGAGGGGATACAGGATAAGATCTTTCAGTGATAGGCTGCCTATGACCTACAGCAGAGCCTCAACAAGCAACATCAGTCCACCGTGGATGTGGCATATATGGGATAACATCTTCTATTGTTTTATTTAGGGCTGAAATTAATGTCCCATAGTCACATCTAATTATGATCTTTTTTGACCTTGTTTAAGACAAGGACAAACACAAGACCGAGAAAGATATAACTGCATAGTTTCTAAAGGAGGCTTCCAACAAAGAACCTATCACAACAAAAATAAATTTATAAGAGGCCTTCAGAAGGGAGAATTATGTAGCTTTCCATGTAATTGCATTTCTTCAGAAAGTATCTATCTTGCTCAAGAAAAGTACTCAAAACCTACTAACACTATGTATTTTCCACAGTAGAAAATCCTTAGTGCTGTGGGGGTCAGGGGGACCAGATATCTCAGTCATTCAGGAAGTATTTCAGGGACTTCTCACTATATTGTTTTCTTCCAAACCTTATAAACTGTATCCCCATGAGGGCCTGATTTTATAGATGAAATGGTCTTCTTTTCTTTCTATTAGTACTTAACGATTTTAAGTTTTGTGTGTGCCATTTTAAAAACTATGGGGAATACAACTGTTTAAAGTCCATTGAGAAAAAAGGTTATCTTAGTTCTTCCCTCCCAAGTTCTTATCTAAAAAATACAAATATTCAGCTTCCAGAAAATGTGAACCTCAACCTCTGGTAATTACGAATGGGTTTGACCATGTCAATACTAGACAAATACTTTGGATCTACTGATCAAGGGCAACATTTTGGTTTTTATTTATCTTTTATCTCTCTCTCTTTTTTTTAAGTAGGCTCCACGTGGAGCCTAATACAGGGCCCAAACCTACGACCCTGAGATCAAGATCTGAGCTGAGATCAAGAGTCAGACGCTCAACCAACTGAATCACCCAGATGCCCCTTATTTATCTTTCAAGGGTATGTTTTAAGGATTATTTTCATTGTACATCCCAGCTACAAAGAATAAAAGATCACTACTGCAGGTTACTGCATATTATTACTAGAACAAATTATATTTGTTGGTATCCTCTTTCTTTGGGGTCTCCTATTTCAGAAAGTCACTGCCAAAATACAGCTTTTATCACATTAACACCCATCTCAAACACACACTCACACACATACATATGTATACTTACATGTCTTCAGGGAAACATTAAAAGATTCAGCTTAAATATTGAATTCAGTCCTGTCTTTCGTAACTTTCCAACTGGAATCACTAGCGTACCCCTCTGTTCTCTGCCACAGGGCCTTGCCCTTGGACTCCCTTCTCACCTGAACCACCCTCACAAATTCTTGATGACAGTTTAAATCCCACTTGTAACTGGGTACCACCCTAAGTCTAACTGTTCTCAGGAGGTTTCTCATGGACCAATTTGGCCCATAGTCACGTCTCATTTCTTTTATTTCAGAGCACTCATTTTCTTTATCATATGGCTAAGCAAATATCATTCACCTAAATAAGTTATGTAACTATTTCTTTTGTATGCCTTACCGCAATGAGACTGTAAGCTCCCTACAGCCAAGCACTGTGTCTTAAAAATCTTCTTTCTCTCCATGTCATCTATTAAGCTTGGTCACTTTTTTTTTATTAACATATATTGCATTATTTGTTTCAGAAGTACAGATCCGTGATTCATCAGTCTTGTACAATTCACAGGGCTCACCATAGCACATACCCTCCCCAATGTCTATCACCCAGACACCCCATCCCTCCCACCCCCACCACTCCAGCAACCCTCAGTTTCTTTCCTGAGAATAAGAGTCTCATGGTTTGTCTCCTTCTCTGGTTTCATCTTGTTTCATTTTTCCTTCCCTGCCCCGATGATCGTCTGTCTTGTTTCTCAAACTCCTCATATCAGTGAGATCATATGATAATTGTCTTTCTCTGACTGACTTATTTTGCTTAGCTTAATACCCTCTAGTTCCATCCACGTCGTTGCAAATGGCAAGCTTGGTCACTTCTTAATGGGTAGAAAAGAGGAGATCACTGAGAGTGGGCACGAGGGGAATGGTCCCTCTTAATTAAGAGGGTGTGTGGGTGTGTCTATGTGTATATATATTTTTCCCAAAATTTCCTAAAAAAAAATTTCCAATTTAAAATATTCCATTCTTCTACCCCATAAATAACTGAAATTTCCTGGGAACGATACAAATTTAACATCAAAAGTAAATTTCCTAGACTGCCTATCTATCAAAAACAGCAAAAAGTATTTTTTGAAAGATCAGGTCTCTTGATATTTGCTTCAATATGTATAATGAACCTTTTACAGATTACAAGCTTTACTATGATGAACCCAATTTTCATGGGTGAAACAATTTGATTCAGTTACCAGAAGGGGTGTGGGTAAGGTAGGCAAGTCATGGGCTTCAGGAAAAACAGACATGCCCTGAAACCAAGAAGCAGGTCAGGACCAGAGGAAACCCCAACTTACCAGAGGTCCAACTGAAAAAACCATAGCAGCCATAATCTCTTCCTCCGGGTTCCCCTCTCTGGCAAGAGTGGAGTCTTGCAATGGCATATCTGAGAAAGAGAAAGAAATAAGCCGTGAACACCCAACCTGCCTTGGAAATCTCAGACTTATCTAGTTGGAATCCTGACATTACAAGTAAGCATGACTTCCCTAAAGAACACAAGATTAACCCCCAAGATCAGTGAGGAAGAAAGATCCTTGCTCCTGGAGATCTTGACATTTTAATACCATTAAATGTAGTCACGGCTAGCAGGCCAGACATTGTATAAGGTGCTTTTAATTTGAACTTCAAATCAATCCAATGGGAATTATATTCCCCTTCCACTGATCAGGAAAATGAAGCTTAGAGAAATTATACTATTTGTCCAAGGCCATGCATGACCCCAAATCGGTCTAATTCCAATGTCCACAACTTTTCCATTAAATCAACTTGCTATATGATGTGAAAGAAAATAATTCAATTGTTCTTTGCAACAAGCACCTACTCATCTAAAAATGAAACATGCTAAGAATTTCTTCTTGTCTTTCATGTGATGATCAATTTACTAACATTTTCAGAGATTTCACCTTCATATAAAGAGAACACCACGGGCACCTCGGTGGCTCAGATGGTTAAGCATCTGCCTTTGGCTCAGGTCATTATCCCAGGGTCCTTGGATCGAGTCCCGCATCAGGCTCCCTGCTTAGTGGGGAGCCTGCTTCTCCCTCTGCCTCTCTCTGTGTGTCTCTTATGAATAAATAAATAAAATCCTTAAAAAAAATTTAAAAAGAGACCACAACCTCCAAATTTAAAAAGAAGTCCTGACATGCTTCTCTAAATCTCATATTCAAATAGATCTTTATCTACTCATTCTGTATCAGGCAAACCCAAATAAAAAGGAAGTAGGAAAAGAAAAAAAAGAATATGGCCCTGCTAATGCTGAGTTTGGTTGCAAAACAAGAGCCTGATGTTTGTAAACATTCTTTTTTTTTTTTTAAGATTATTTATTTATTATTTGACAGAGAGAGAGAGACAGCGAGAGGAAACATAAGCAGGGGGAGTGGGGGAGGGAGAAGCAGGCTTCCTGTGGAGCAGGGAGCCCGATGTGGGGCTCGATCCCAGGACCCTGGGATCATGACCTGAGCCGAAGGCAGACGCTTAATGACTGAGCCACCCAGGCGCCCCTGTAAATATTCTCTTAATAAGTGCATAGTCGCAGAATGATGCTGCAAGACATATAAAAGAGCAGTGGTGCAGTAAGAATTAAGCTTCCCAGATTTTGTGAAATTCTTTTTAATGACAGTTTCCTAGGAAGTTTGATGCTCTCACCATGCAGTAGGGCTTTTGGGGCCCAAAAGAATCTATGCAGGATTATGCTGAATCTGTCCCTGCCTTACATAGACAATTTGTCTCCATTAAGAATTCACATCCAAGAGCTTTGTATTCAAAAGTGAAGACTGAAGAACAGCAGCATAAACATTACTGGAGAGCTTGTGAAAAATGCAAAATTTGAGGTCCAACTTCAGAACCTATTAAATCAGAATCAGCTTTTTAATAAGATCCCTAGCTGATTCATATGCACACATTAAAGTGTAAGATAATATGGGTCTAAAAAAGATCATGCCGACCTAGAAGAAATGAGTAAATTCCTAAAACATACAACCTACCAAGACTGAATCATGAAGAAAGAGAAAAATCTGACACACTGATTACTAGTAAGGAGATTGAATCAATAATAAAAAGTCTCTCAAAAAACAAAGTCCAGGACTAGGTAGTTTCATTGGTGCATTCCATCAAACATTTAAGAAGAATTAATACCAAACCTTCTCAAACTCTTCCAAAAAACATAGAGGAAGGAACACTTCCAAACTCATTTTACGAGGCCAGCATTATTGCGATACCAAAACCAGGCAAAGACACCACAAGAAGGGGTGCCTGGGTGGCTCAGTCATTAAGCATCTGCCTTCGGCTCAGGTCATGGTTCCAGGATCCTGGGATCGAGCCCCGCATCGGGCTCTCTGCTCAGCAGGAAGCCTGCTTCTCCCTCTCCCACTCCCCCTGCTTGTGTTCCCTCTCTCGCTGTGTTTCTCTCTGTCAAATAAATTAAAAAAAAATTAAAAAAAAGACACCATAAGAAAAGAAAATTAGAAGTCAATAATCCTGTTGAACATAGATGCAAAATTCCTCAACAAAATATTAGCATACTGAATTCAACAATACATCAAAAGGATCATACACAATGATCAAGTGGATCAAGTGGATTTATTCTAGGGATGCAAGAATGACTCAACATCTGCAAGTCAATCAAGGTGATACATCACGTTAAACAAAATGAAGAATAAAAATCATATGATCATCTCAATAGATGCAGAAAAAGCACTTGGCAAAATCATCATCCATTTACGATAAAAGCTCTCAACAAAGGCCATATATGACAAGACCACAGTTAATATACTCAATGGTGAAATGATAAAAACTTTTTTTTTCTAAGGGGCGCCTGGGTGGCTCAGTCATTGAGTGTCTGCCTTCGGCTCGGGTTGTGACCCCAGGGTCCTGGGATCGAGCCTCACATCGGGTTCCCTGCTCCACGGGGAAGCCTGCTTCTCCCTCTCCTACTCCCCCTGCTTGTGTTCCTTCTCTCACTGTCTCTCTCTGTCAAATAAATAAATGAAATCTTTAAAAAAAAAAAAAAAAGAAGGAACTTAAAAAAAAACACTTTTTTTTCTAAAATCAGGAACAGAACAAGACAAGGATGCCCATTCTCATCATTTATAGTCAGCATAATATTGGAAGTCCTAGCCAGAGCAATTAGGCAAGAAAAAGAAATAAAAGGCATCCAAATTGGAAAACAACTGTTATTATTTGCAGATGACATACTTTTATAGGTAGAAACCCCTAAAGAATCTGCCAAAAAACTGTTAGGATAAACAGATTCAGTAAAGTTGCAGGATACAAAAATCAACTTATAAAAATCAGTTGTGCTTCTATATACTAATAATGAACTGTAAGAAAGAGAAATTAAGAAAATAATCCCACTTACAATTGCATCAAAAAGAATAGAATACCTAGGGATAAATTTAATCAAGGAGGTGAAAGACCTGTACATTGAGACCAGAAGACATTAAATGGAAAGATATTCTGTGCTCATGGATTGGAAGAACCAATATTGTTAAAATGTCCATACTATCCAAAGCAATGTACAGATTTAATACAATCCCTATAAAATACCAACAACATTTTTCACAAAACTAGAACAACTCATACTAAAATATCCTCAAAGTTTCCTCAAAAAATTAAAAATAGTACTACATTTTCCAGCAATTCCACTTCTGGGCATTTATCTGATGGAAACAAAAACACTAACTCAAAAAGAGATCCATACCCATATGTTCACTGTAACATTAATTACAATAGCCAAGAAATGGAAGTGTTTGTTGACAGATGAATAGATAATGTGACACACAGGAATATTATTCAGACATAAAAAAGAAGGAAATCTTGCCATTTGTGAAAACATGGATGGAACAAGAGGGCATTATGCTAGGTGAAACAAGTCGGACAGATATAGACAAGTATCATCTCACTGTTATGTGGAATCTAAAAAGATAAACAAAACAACCCCCCCAGCCCCAAACTTGAACTCATAGATACAGAGAACAGATTTCCAGAGATGGTTGCCAGAGGCAGGATGAGCAGTGGACGAGATGGGCAAAGGTGGTCAAAAGCTATCAACT